ATAGACCGATTGCTCGTCGCCCAATTGTTTATGCAATTATTCACACTTCAGTAAAAAATAAAGCTGAAAATAAAGCTTTGTTCTCGAAAATCAGTGCATCTTCGCTTATTCTTTTTTATTTCATTCTTATTTCTTACTGAACAAGAGAACGACTTTCTAGCAGTATTGCTGATGATGTGTTGTTATTCTTATTTCCACTTGAAAGCTTTATTTCTGTAGTCTTTTAACCTGATGATTAGGTCTGACGAAAAACTGAAGGAGCAAAAAAAGTTTCTTATTACTTTTAATAAGTACCTTAGTTTATTTACTCTTTTTTCTTTTTGTTTATATTTATCAACCATATAAAGAAAGACGTACTTAGATTGCTTTCTTTTTGCTTCACTTTCTCATTTTTTCATTAAACACTTATTATTGCCATTGCGTTTTCTTTGTTTCTCCCAAAATTGTTTATTGTTGTTTCTAAAAGTAAGCAAAATGATGGCTTTATTGTGGAAACAGTTTATAGCTCGTCAACGGAAGCATTTTTCGAGTTTTATGTGACAGGAAGTGATTTTTGGTATACTGATGGATGAGTAATTTACAGGTGTTTATTAATTTAAGTGATTTACGTTATAATGTCAGTGAATTTTGTTTTTTTTATTTGTTTTAAATTTTTTAACAGTAACAGTATTTTCTACTTTTTGCATTTTCTTTATTGTATCACCGATTATCGCTTAAACTTAAAATTATATATAAATTTGTGAACGATGACATTGTTAGAAAATGAAGAAGGAGAGAGCGGGAAAGCGTAAGTGGTAGAAAAGTTAGGGGACTATAGTTGTTTAAATTTCATCTGCCTTCTGAAGCATCTTCAGTTTGAAACAATTTTTCGGTGGTAATTTAATTTGGTTGATACCAATTCCCTCTCTCAGCTATTTAGAATAACAGAAAAAACTATCATTTAGTTTTTTTTCGGTTCTCTTCTTTCTTTCAAATACGGTTAGATTGTCGTTCATTGGTATTTTCCGTTTACGTTTAACTTTTTTATGTTTGAATTGCCGTTTAAAAAAATGTTTTTAATTATTGTACCGTTGATTGTTATTTGAGAAGCTTTATCTGATTTGGTTCTTCATCTGAACATTCAACGATCAAAAACGAATTTTTTTGGACGTTGCTTTTTATTTACACAATCTGTTGGTTCAACTGATGTGCCATGTTGGAGCATTTCTGAAGTTTTTTTGGCTATGCTCTGTTCTTTTTGTTCGTCTTCTCCACTGGAAAGAAAGCGCTCATCTGTTTTAGAATAGGAATGTAATGTTATTTTGCTGTTAGGACAATTTTTTTTCTTTTCTGTTTCATTAATGAATGGAAACTATTTAGTTATAGAGGAGAACATTAGCACAAAGAAATGTCAAATTCGGTTTAGGTTACTGTTTTACTGCAGTTGGTTTGTTGGAATCGTTTGAGCCGATATTGCTGTTCAGTGGCATTGGTGATTCCTGATCCTGTTTTTCCGTCTAGTTATACTCTTAATGATAAACAGTCTTCTTGATCAGTTTGGATCTTCTTGAGATTGGCCACTGCTTTTCAGCATACATAGCTTGGGTGAAACAGAGGTCTTTGTTCACAATTTTATATGATCTAAATAAGCAGATGTTGTATTGGAGATCACTGGAACCGGAATTTTAAGGCTAATGAAACAATATAAGTTGAAAAAGGAATGGGGGATAAGAGCGGAGTATGTAAGTGATTGATATTTGTGCAACTGAAAATCAGAAGTGTTTCAAACTGCGTGCTTTGCTGTTCCATACCTGTTCCTTTATAGCTGTGCATTTGGAAAATTTCAACGGCTCACCAAGATCTACTATTTTTCTTTTACGGTCTTTGAGGATTATTGTTCTACTCGTTGCTGCATATATAAACCTTTGTTTTCATTTTTTTTGCGGCAAAAAAAAAAAAACAGAAGAACAATTTGGAAACATTAATTTGCCTAAATTTGTATAACTAAGTTGCAGGAAGTGTACACCGATTACCGGTTGGAAAAATGATTCACCGGGTCACCCCAGCAGACTAGGATCATCAATTATTTATGGGGCATGTCAGTTCGTTCCTTTTTTTTTTCTGCTTATTTTTTTTCTATTTTTTTGAACGATTTCTTTTTCTGTTAGATACTATAACATTGTTTTTTTCTCTGCATTTGTTTATCATTTTTTTATTTTTTATTTGTTTTTTTTTTT